GAGGACCCACGATTTCTGGACGCAACTTCTGTTCCACTGATTAATTGTTTTAACTGTCAGGATATTTCTCCTCAGTTCTAAGTTGCTTCTCTCCTTGATTAGTTTCCACCCATTGCTTCTTGTTCTACCCTCAGGTGCCTTGGAGAATAGTTTGACTCCCTCTTCTTTGGGGCAGCCCCTGAGATATTGGAAGACTGCTATCATGTCTCCCCTAGTCCTCCTTTTCATTCAACTAGACATCCCCAGTTCCTGAAACCGTTCTTCATATGTTTTAGTATCCACTCCCCTAATTCATCTTGGTTGCTCTTCTCTGCACTCTCTCCAGAGTGGATCTCTGGACTCCCAGGGGATCGTGATGGAGATCTAAGGGAATGGGAGGGGGGGGTGTTGCCTTGTGCCCCTTCAATGCCCCTCCATCCAGGAAGAGATGAATCTGAACTCACCCTCCTCCCATTCCGTCGCTGCAGCAAAAGTCGCCGCCAGGAGCAGGAAGCAGACCAAGGGACCCTTCATGGTTGAGGTTCCACTGGTCGAGCCGTGGTGGAGGAGCTTGCAATATAAGCCTCCCGGCCTCTGAGGCCAAGGCCAGAGCTGCTGAGTCTGCTTTCCTCTCCCTCTCCTTGTGCCAAGTCCCAGAATTCCTGGTTGTGTCCACACAGGCTTATCTTGTGCTCCCCAAAGGTTGCGGGGCATGTCAGGGTGACCCCTGGAGGAAGGCCACAGGGAGGGTTCCTGCCAGGTAGATCTCCCCACCTCGTCCTTGGCAGCAGGCAGCTGTGCCCACTCTGCAGAGCCAATATTTTACAAGACTGTGGGGTTGCCTGTCATGCACACTTACTGACGGGGAGAGGATGTCCAGGTAGCTTTCAAGGCAGCAGGGAAGCCATTGATTGTCCAGAGTGCCGTCACCAGCTCCAGATCCTTGGTGGGAAAGAACCTGGGGGGCCTCTAAGAGAAAGATTTCCATGGGGGTCCTTGTGTTTTCTGAGTGTGGCGCTTTTATTACCAAACTAGGTAGCATCATCAGTGCTAGAAGTGGAGGAGGAGAAGAGGCGGAGGAGGGAGAGGGATCCTCCGAGTTCTCTGAGCTTGGTGATAAAATTGGTAAAATTCTCCATTTAGAAAAAGTAATACACAAAAGCACAGGTACAGCATAGGTGGTGCCTTGCTCAACAGTAGTAACTGTGGGAGGGATCTTGGAGTCCTACTGGGCAACCATTTAAATAGGAGCCAGCTGTGGGCAGCAGCTGCCAAAAAAGCCAACACAGTTCTAGGCTGCATCAAGAGAGAGATGGAATCAGGACCACATGATTACCCCATTATAATGCACTACATAACTACGTTATAAGGAGTAGGGATGACATGATAGCAGCCTTCCAGTATTTGAGGAGCTGCCACAAAGAATATAGCAATAGCAGTAGACTTATATACCGCTTCATAGGGCTTTCAGCCCTCTCTAAGCGCTTTACAGAGTCAGCATATCGCCCCCAACAACAATCCGGGGAGGAG